GATTATACCTTATCTACCATGTGCGAACATTTTGTGAGCATTTCAATAGCTTGTTATTTACTGTCGTAATTAATTTCTCATATAGACTAATTTAGACTAACGTAAAATCATTTCTTCTACAGGCAAAATTGTGTAATGTTTCTACTCAAATATGTAGAATGCTTTGTTCTCGAACATCCAATAAAATCAGTTTAGCAGACAGGATGACAATATACAGATGGAAGATTGCGGTAGATCTTTGTCATAACGAATACTTTCTTCATCCCCGATAGTGAAAAAGTCATAGTGGCATGTTCTCTTTGATTTTGTGACCGTTGATTATATTTCACCAACTGTGTCCATGAACAGTTGTTCGTAGTTCTATTTATGTTTTTCTCATGCTCGTATTGTCATTCTAGACAAATGTAATGTCAAGTGTTAAGATATACAGGCATATAATGTCGAGAATTACACGTCAAATGTCAAGAAATGTATGAAACGTCGAGAAATGTCCTGTTTCCTGTTTCGGTACAAATAATAACGCAATATCTAATGTAAGTTCAAACGTCGACCTGATCGGATTACAAATGTCAATAACAATTTTCGAAGTATCAAAACGACGTGAAATGTCATGAATTGCATCAATTTTCCTTTGTCGTTCAACATTTTCCTACTTTTTGAGCTACACATTCCTCAATAAATACTATTCGAAGTATTAAAAATTGAAAGAAACTGAGCCAAATAGAGGCTAAGATTGACTGATAGGACAAGCAGACGATATTATGGGGACACAACATGTCAATCAAATGTAAATATAAGTAGGTGGAGTTAGTGTGAGGACTTTTAATGCAGTAATGCACACCTCAATGTCCATTATAAAATAATGGGATTGGTTTCAATATGCAAACATGGTTCTTTCAACAAAATACTAACGTGAACAAGTTCTTCCAGTGAATATGTCTTCATCAACTGAACGGACTCCACATATTGATGTTGTCATGAATGTATCTTTACCCGGCTCTTTAGCAAGCAACCACATCATCATTAACTCGAAAGATGACGAAGAAATCAATGTCATTGTTCCATATATTCCTCAAGCAAAAAACCATCGTCATAGGGTTTGCCTTCACCCCATTCCATTCCTAAATCAAATCGACAAAATTGAGCCACTTGAAGTTGGAGATGATGATCATAACATCGATCGTGAGAGCGTATCAATGGAGGTCCTATCGAAAGTACACCAAGCCTTGGTGGACAACAATTTCGCGACAGTTCCAGCCAAAAATGATGACATGATCGTGATAAGCTGGATGACGATGACAGTGTTATATCCTCTTTGTCGGTTGTGAAGGACATGTAGAAGGTTCGACCATGTATCTAAAATGTCTAAGCATATCCAATGACATATGTATATGTATATGGATAATGGATAAGTTTTGTGGTGATGACCAATTTGTATGTGTAGTGACCTTGAACATGCACATAGTAATTTTCTGCTTTTATTGTGACGACTATATAGTATGGACAGTGACTTAAGAAAATGAGTCATGCATGGCTTCCTTTTGTATCCATTACTAAGTTGCATATATAATAATGAAGAAAATTATAGTATTAAAGCAATTATTGACTTTTGTCTTCATGAAATGACGTGGTAATAAAATCAAACCCTACCGATGACATTTGGAAAGGAAAGGATAGAAATCATGTAATATATAAAAATGTATTGAACACATGGATAATCCATATTAGCAAGTGATTTCTACCCAAAATACACTGGTAATTCAAGTGCACATGGTACTTCTCCGTGTCGGGTTCCTATATGTTTACATGTTGTGTCCAAACATTGGCCACATTTTCGACTGCTGGTAGACCGTTCAATTTTTGACTTTCTACTTTGGGTAGGAGGTCGACCTGGTACTATACGTATATTTGAAGGCAAAATGTTGATAGAACTAATAGCATCAGGAACAACCGAATCTGACTTCATTCCAACGGGATCAATAAATTCGATGTACGAAACTTGCCAACACTCTGCAGTGTAGTAACGGAAGCATTAGTCGTACAATGATATATCTTTTGAGCACGTAGCACGGGATGTATGTGCACATGAAATTTGTCGCATATGAAACTCTCGACATGAACATGTCTTACCTATATGGTCGGCAGTACACATTTATGCACCTGTACCAACCTCAAAAATGAATTCATCCAAATTTCGTACTTCCAAAGTTGCAGCGGTGTTAAAAGATTGTATAATGCTCCTTCCATTTTTTATGTCAAGGCAGTATGATAATCGGTAGATGTGTTTCTCCGCTCGAAGAACCATTGTTTCATCAATGTCATAATGTGTTGGACGAACGAAGTTATAGGGAAATTTTGTTGTCATCTGAGGGCTGAATTCAATAACTCTGCAATGATATTAGTCATAACGTTGTATCGATTACCAACAAAATTTGCCCGTGACCAGGTGGATGGACCAGCACGTTCCAAATAAGATGCGACTGTTGGCCAAATGGTCCGAATCTGTCTCATCATTTGCTCGAATTCAGATACGCGATATGCGAGTACTGCATTTTTGAAAAGGAATATGATATTATGACTGCTATATCTAGCAATGAGATTTTTTTCGATATGCCATATGTAGGCACCGTGGTGCGAAAGCGGGAAAAGCATCTTAATTGCTCGCTTAATGCTGTTCTTCCTGTCGAATACAAACACTAGCTGATTTGAATTATCGACAATATCTTTCAACTTCGTGAATAACCAATACCATGATACATTTGTTTCCCTATCAACAACGCTCCAAGCAATAGGATATATTTACATGTTGGCATCTTGCGCTGCAGCTACTAGTAGTGTTCCCTTATACCGACCCTTCAAATGACTCCCATCAATGCAAATTACCAACCTCATGTAATCTCGAAAACCACGTGTGCTCGGCCCGAATGCTAAGAAAAAGTACATGAACCTGTTATTGGAGTCGAGCTTAATGTGTGCGACGGTTCCTGGGTTTCTCTCAGTTAACATGTGACAGTATGAAGGTAATTTATGATAACTCTATTCCGGTTAACCATGAAAAATTCGAAGTCCCTTCTCTTTACCCCGCTACGCTTTACTGTAGCTAATTCGTACATCGAATTCATGTTGCATATCCCCGACAATGACCATGGGAACGTATGGTTGGTTTCCATCAGTCAATCGTTAGGTAATGTGATACCCAATCAGTGCACTCGTTGCATGAATTCGAGCACTTCGTCAAACGTCTAAAGAACATGTGTGCTCAAGTATATACTTTCGAATCTTAAAGAAGTCTGTACTTTTTATCTTAGAGGCTAGTAGCCAATGGCACGTGGTGTCGATACAGCACACAGTAAGAGATTTGGGATTGGACTTTTTAACCTCGAAATGAAACTTCTTTGTCAAAGTATTTAGTTGAAGCCTTGTGTGCAACTGTTTCTTGATAAGGAATATTCGATTCTTGTGAATTTTCTCTTGATCGATCGACTGAATTGTATTTTCAATATACAAATTCCTTTAACCTAAACCTACACACGTGTTATGAATCACTTCTGGCTCTTGTAGTCCGCACACACTGACTTTGTGGCGGGCATCTTCTATTAGAGACAAATGGTCATCTCTGACATGTTGTTCTTGCTCTCCAGCATCATATTCATCTGCAATTACACACAAAATTGGTTGTGTGTGAATTGAAATGTACCATTACAAAGCCTCATTGTCGGCTACATCAGCAGAAGGTAAGTTCATGTTTGGAATTTTAAATTTCAATTGAATCCAAAACTGCAATCTGTTAATGTTGAGCTTCTCAAATAATTTATGTAAAAGCTCTTCATATTAAATATCACGTCTAACAACAATTGATGTTGTTCGGTTGTCTAAACACTTCCATTCATCATCAATGTTGACGAATGTACCACCGTAGGAGACAACGAATCTCATAACATCAACCATATCTACATGCCATAAAAAAATAGTATCACCTAATAACGAATACCTCAAACGAATATGCTAATTATCCACGAGCAATATACAAAAAATATTCCATAATTTCGTCATGGTACTTGTAATATTACTCTCAACATTATCAAATGTCGAAAATGGAATTAAAAGTAACATTCTCGACGTTTGTAATTGTCGAGAACAACATTTCAAGTACCATTCTCGACGTCTGTAAAATGTCGAGAGTGACATAACATATTCCACTTTACCATATGCATTTATCATCTTCTTCATCTTCAACCACCATTTTGGCAAAGAATTTAAATTTATGCTATCATTAATGAAATTTTAACTATAGGAGTAGCTTAAATTATTATCTAACTATGTAATGTAAAAAAGTTATGACAAATATTTACTACTAGTTTGGACAACCTACTACATTGAAATCAAATATATAACAACAACTACTACACATCACTTCTTAATAAACATCAAATATCAAAGGAAAATACATTGTACCCAGAAATGAGGAGAGCCTAGTCAACTTCAAATTTCAATTACATTAAATTTATCGACATGAATAAATTATTTCTTCTTTTGGAGTAGAAATCATAGATTTCTTTCTGGCTGTTAATGCCTGCTATTTCACGTTCTTCAATTTTTCTAAAATAATTTTTTAATATCTAATGAAAAATGCAAGCAAGTGAACAAGCATAGGCAATAATAACAATTATTGTGACTTCTCATGGAAGCCATTGCTTTTCTGTGTCAACTTACAAAAGAAAAGTTGATAATTATTTATTCTTTCATTTAGGGTAAAATAGAGAATTTGATATCAAATTTGATCATTTTTGCAAGGATTATCAAAAATAGACATTTTTGAATTAACATATGTGAAATTGGATCAAATGCCCCAAAGATTATTAAGTGTATATGTTGAAGTGCAGGTGATATTTGGCCTGAGTTGCCCATTTCATCTCAAAATGGGCCGAGCTTCCAGGGCCTTAGTTAAAATGGGCCGACCGTTTCAATTTTATAAGTCTCACTGTCCCTACACAATAAAAGGAATATCTGGAACTGGTAGATGATGGCATTGATTGCGAGGCTGCCTTTGGTTCTTCAACTTTCATGTCCATTTAGGCATCATTTTAAGAAGAGGCAGTGGGCTGCAATTTCTAACTCAAAGAGACATTCAGGAATATTAGGCTTTTCCAAGGCTGAAATGGCAGCTGATAGTGATCCATCCAAAGTGATTGACTCGCATTTGCATGTTTGGGCATCACCTCAAGAGGTAAATATGAGGCTAATTCTGAATTTGAGATTGTGCAAAATTGCTTAATGTTTTTGGGTTTGAATATTAGGCTGCGGAGAATTACCCCTACTTCCCTGGCCAAGAACCCTCTTTACCAGGTCATGTCGGGTACTTGCTTGAGGTATGTGGTAAATTATATCATTTTTTTTGGAAGATAAGTTCATACGAAATGCTTAACTGTGACAAGATTTATCTTGCGATAATTCCAAGTGTTTTATGTTGGATAAGCCCATTGTTTTATTATGGTTTGTAATTTTCTTTTCATGATTTATTATAGCTTTTTTGTGGAAGATAAGTTCATATGAAATGCTCAATTGTGACGAATTTACTGCGATAATTTAAGTTTCTCTTGTAGGACATGCCCATGGTTGTATTATGGTTTTAATTTTCTGATCAAGATTTATTATTCTGATTGGTTTGGGTTTACAGTGTGATTCTTGAATTTTCTCCCACTTTTCTTGGGGGTGGGAGCCTGGTAAATTAGTTAGAGAATAACTCTGTTCTTAAAACATGGGTCCTAGAAATTCTGATTTTTTTCTTTTCCTGTATGTATCTATTTATCTACGGGAAATGTAATATTAGAAAAATCATTTATACTGAAAAGGGATATGAATTATTGCGATTGAATGATATCTTAGCATTTTCTTCAGTGCATGGAAGAAGCTGGTGTAGATGGTGCACTCATAGTACAGCCCATTAATCATAAGTTTGATCATTCTTATGTAACAAGGTTAGTTGCTTATGCCTACTTCGATAAACTTCGTTGACTACTATGGTTATGGTTGCGAAAAAATCTAAAATAATATTCGACGCAGCTATATCATAATAGCACATGTCATAATCTCTGTTGAATTAGTCGCTGTATCAAAGAGCTATTTGATATATATTGCTCAAGTTAAAATTATTAAAAATATCTTTTAGTGACTTGGGAATTAGAACCTTATAACAACATGAGATGTAAGATCATAACAGATTATAAAAGTAATAGCATTATTATTACAAGAATCAGCTATAGATATTCTAATCTTAAAGGTTTGGTAGCTCAAACTCCTCCACATTCTTCCTAATAATTTTCATTTAGTCGTATTATATCACACATGTAATCTGTTTTTGATGATTGAATGAATAACTGAATTGTTGTTTTGGAATAGAATGTCTAATCTTGAGTTAAAATCTTAACAGTGTGTTGAAGAAACATCCATACAAATTCGTTGGTTGTTGCCTTGCAAATCCAGCAGAAGATGGAAGCGGCATCAAACAGCTTGAAAATCTCATTTTGAAGGTTCGAAGAATCTTAAAGAATCATATATCAGTGTTTTGTCATATACAAATCATGTTAACATAGAACTGTAATCAATGCTAGGATGGGTACTGTGCCGTTCGCTTCAATCCATACTTATGGCCACCTGGGCAACCGGTACGAATATTCACAAGTAACCTTTCAGCTGTCTTTTACAACTCCATATTTATTTATGTTTCGATTTTTAAAACATTTTGCGTTTTTAAGGAAGGCACGAGTAGTGCGTATTTTCATTCGGGATTTTCAGCTCGAAAAGATGTTGAGTCTGATAAAATAGAAGTTAAAAAGCTTATGCTCTTCGTGCTCTTTATTTTGATATCAGAGGCCAGGAGCCCATACCTTTGAACAATACTGGAGAATTTGATTCTATGAGAAATTAAGCCCCTATTTTACAACCATTTTTACAAAACTCTTTTTTTTCAATACTCATTTTCAACCACACATTCTCACAATAAAATATTCTGTATGTAAACTCAATTTTTCTTACTTTTTAACCACACATTCTCAAAAAAATCAATATTCCGAACCTCATTTTTCCCAGAAAAAACTCTTTATAATGGTTGTCAAACAGGGGCAAAAGAAAAAGCCATCAAATTGGCCTATTTCTTACACATCCAATGAAGTCTTGAAAATTGGAAACAAGGAATGAAGAATGAACAAGTTTTCTTCCCTGAGTTTGCCTTGGGGATTTTGAGTACTTGTGGCTCCTAATTGTTATTTGCATACAGATTGACCATGTTCGAGAGAAATTAGTTTTATGCTCCAATCTTGATTAAATACTTATCTATTGTAAATGCCTTAAAAATCTTTTTCCACCCACATTAATTGAAGGTGCAAGAACGTTAGAAGGAGCTAAAATATATTAACACTCATGATGAACTAATTGTTTTTAATGGTCTATTCAGATGACAAATGAAGTTGGGAAAGCAATGTTTTCGAAGGCCGGAGAGCTTGGAGCGCCTGTTGGTATCATGTGCGCAAAAGTATTTCTCTTGTAACAGAACTACAAGCAGTATTATATTCTGAAGAAGTTATCGTCGTTTCATGTATGAAATATTTATGGATCTACCCACTACTTAACTGGATACACTGATATGAAAATTCTCATCTCCAGGGTCTTAATATGCATCCAGAAATTGAACAACTCTGTGAAGAATTTCCTTCAACAGTTGTTCTGCTCGATCATGTAGCCTTCTGTAAACCCCCAACGTAAGCTGCCAATAAATAAAATATTTCAAAATAAGAGCGCGTATTAGATAATAAGTTTCAGTTTTTATGTGTTTTATACTGCAGAAATGATGAGGAACAACAAGTCTTCAATGAACTGCTGAAGCTCTCTAGATTTCCACAGGTAAAATTTTGCTGGATATATTAACCTGATATTTTTATACCTTGGATATGTCGCTTCAAATATTTTTCACCAGTCTTGGTAATTCTGTACTCATTCAAAAAAAAAAAAAAAATTGTTGTGACAGGTTTATGTAAAATTCAGTGCCCTATTTAGAGTGTCAAGGAAACCATATCCATATGAAGATCTATCCGACCTTTTATCAAAGATCGTCTCCAGCTATGGTGCCAACCGTGTGATGTGGGGAAGGTAACACAGTAATGAGTAATCCATGGAACTATTTTGCCTGTAGAAGAGATTTAGGAAACTCGGAATATAGAGTTATCTATTTATTGTGAAATTACTCTCTGAAGGTTTCTATTTTCATCTTTTGCAGTGACTTCCCTTATGTAGTTCCCGAGTGTGGCTATAAGGAAGCAAAAGAAGCAGTGTGTCAGCTCGCCCAACAAGTGAATTTATCGTCTTCTGAATTGGAATGGATCATGGGTAAAACGGTGAAGCAAATCTTTAACAAGCATTGGTAGAAGATGGAGTTGGCATTTTCTCATTATGTGACTGAACTATGAAATGTTAATTGAAACTTACTTGAATCGAAAGGATTTGAATTGGGTCTTATTGTACAAGTGTTTGTGCTCTAGAGGAACAGCAAACATACTTCTCCCAGTGTTTATCCTCCTAGTGGTTGTAATATTGATATATACAGGTGAAAATGGACTTTGTACTGGCGAACGATGTAGAATATGAATTTTCAGTTTCGTAAAGAATCAATCAGGGGTTTGACCCGTACGTGATCACATTATTGTTATGCGCCACCCAACAGAGTAGATTACTGTGAGGGCAACTCCAAAGAATTAAAAGAGTTGAGAAATAATAATAATAATAATAGAGCGACAACCGTTTTTGCATAATTCCATTATTCTTTGTTGATTTTTGCTATTTGTATAAAAAAATGTCTATACAAAATCGTCGAGCAATCCCAGGTCGAATATGCCTCTAAACCCCCAAAAGAAAAGAAAAAGGAAAATGAAAAATGAAAAGCTGTTCAACCCCCCACCCCCCGAAGCACAAGTTACAACCTCGTCAATGATGCACAACTGGATGCCAGAAAAACTATAACAAGAGAGTCAAATCGCTAAAAAAATCTATACAAACTGAAACCTCTACAACAAATGATGATGACAGGAGAGATTAATCTTCTATACGCTGTATCTCACCCATCAGGATCCGATTGCTAGTGACTTTGAATCCTAGAAGAGCAGGATCAATTTGTCTACCTTTCTTCCCCCTTTTTTTGCTAGATTTTGCCCCCATTGCCATGTCTGATGACTCTGAAGCTCCAGCTCCAGCTGCTGGTGCATTACTTTCTTGAGGAGTTGGTTTCTTAGCATTGCTTTTAAGCATGTCACTGAACGACGTCTCCAGGACATCAGCGTCACTACAAGATAAAGTCCGTTGAAACTGCATGGCCTTCTTGCCAGATGACTGACTGTCGGAGTTTCCTGGATTCCCTCCAGTTTCTCCTCTGATCCCTGAAAGTAAGAAAAAAAATATGAAGTGATTAGAAATGAACAAATACAAGAGAATAATTAAAGATGTCAATCCTTCTGTTAAACAAAACACAACCATGAGATTAACTAATTCACAGGCAATCAATGGCACCATCAATCTACGTGATAGCCAAATATGCGGACCGTGGACCATCGCCCTAACGTAGGCAGCAAAGCAATATAAATCAACTTTCACACTCCCCCCACAAGGGAGTTGACTCCAAACTCACCCACCCATGGGAAAATGGAAGGAACTAACAAGTGCTATTGTCATATTACGATGATAAAAAAAAAATATATATATATATATATATATATATATTAGGGTTTTGCTTCACGTACGGGGCGCCCTGTACGTATATCTTTTTCAAAAAATATGAGACGAAAAATTGACAACACCCTTTCTTACCGTCAGAAGGTATAGCATTTGGAATGTGTTTTCCTCTGGTGACTGAATCAGCACTCAGCTCAGACAACCCTCCCTGAGCAGATGCAGCACGAGAGACAGGTGGACGTCTCAGCAAGATGTTTTCCGGCATTTTTGATGCGATGGATTGCAACCTACTCATAATAAAAAATATAAGAAATGCTGAATCAAAAGATATATAGAGAAGATAACAAAAATACAATATAAAAAACAGTAACAGCAAGAAATATGAACAGAAATTCAGCGAAGCCAAGAGATTAATTTGAGTATGGAAATATCTACAGCTACCTTCGTGATTTCCAACAAAACATGTCACAAGTTAAAAAACAAGATCCTAGAAAAAGCCCAGCTATAAAAACTTAGTGGGACTATAGTTACCACCTAGACAACAATCTATAAACTACATTAAATATTAAACCCCAAATAAAGTCCAACAGTGGGAATTACAGTTCCGAGAAAACAACAATATAAGATATCAGCAAAACAAATTTTCCATGAAACTTTGACAAAGCCACAAAGAATTTAATTAATGACTAGGATTTCTTTAACCATAGTAGTGAGAGCAACCTAAGCTTATTCTTACCTATCCTTAGCAGCCTCCTCCGAAAATGAATTGAGCGAATGAAACCCTGGTCACAGTTCAGAAATTTAGTCAATCACGTTTAGGTGGGGAAAAATGAAAATGGAAAGCAACCAAGAACAGAAAGTTACCAGTAGAGCAAACTGAAGTATGCCGACTAAGTGCATTAACAGGCACTTCCCCACTATCTATAGCTGCCAGGCCAGCCCTCTCAACTAGGCCAGCTTGAGACATTGAAGCTGATTCCTGAATATCACCATCTTCACTAATGAGTACTTAGGTGATGTCCTCCATATCGACTAAATTTAGTTCAAACAATAGCAATATTTTGCTCTAGAGTTGTTTTAGATTACCTGAGAGCTTTCATCAATTCCAGAATCGAAATATTCTCCAGATTTTGATCTGAAAGGCAATCCACCTTGTTCTAGAACACTGGTCATTCCATCAGCTAGTTGATCCTGAGGTAGTCCGCCTGAATCAGAACCATAAGACCCAATGGTAAAGGAGAGATTGGTACCTGCTTCCTTATTGAGAAGAGTAATTGAATGATTTGTAGCACCTGTCCCAGAAGAAGGCCTTCTCTCATGGGATACTTCATTGGTCGCCTCAAAGGGTTCATCCAATTGATGGCCTGATTTCTGATGAAGTAATTCCATGAGCAGCCGCTTTGAACTGTCATCATTTAATCCAGATGACATCCACAAACTTGGATCTTCTGTTGTCCTGTTGACATCCAATTCCCTCTTATGCCTCTCATTATCATGATGTAGTTGCTGAATTCTTGCTTCAATCCAGTCATTGGATAACTGACTATGATTCTCAGACCAGTGACCATCAGTGGTTTCCAAGTGCGGAACTTGAAATTGCTTAGGAATTGAAGGTTGGGTTGTATGCTGAGAGTAGACCCCTGGTGAGAATCTACCACCATGACCACCTGGATGCAGTCGTGTAATCTGCTCCTGCATTTCTAAACCATGAGCTCGGGCCATAGAATTCATAGCATCTAGGTTTACACCAGGAGCGCCATCAGGTAGTGACATTGAGCGTTCAAACGGCAGCATGCCATGGTCATAAATTCCTAGTTGGAGTCTATCTTGTAATGAAGCATTTCGTTCAAGATGGCTGAGTTGCTCCTCAGCAGCCGCTCTTCGTTGCTGATAAAAGTCTAATGGGCTAAATCCAGCAGAGCCAGCTCGATGAGTAGGTGCAGGATTTCTAAGGAACTGACTGGCTTCATCAAGAGGCCACCCATGACTAACTTGCCTGCCTTCTTCCATTTCCAAACGCTTCCTGAGCCCCAGTGGCAGAGATCTTCCCTGCAGCTGCTCTAGCTGATCCAGGGGATGAATCTGCCTATGATTTCCACTAGATAACAGCTCCGATAAATCATTAGGATGCCCTTGATGGGGCATTTGCCCATATTTTGCTTGTATGAGTTGCTCCAGGGATGAGTCAACATGCCTTGGTGGAAAATGGCCACGCTGTTGCATATCATTGAAAATTTGCTGCTTCAATATTGCCTGTTCAAGAGCACTGTCCGACCTAAGAGCATCTATAGGTGACTGCCCTCGGCCGGAGTCCCGAAGTGGATTCTGCAGTAGCTGTTCAAAAAGCACCTGTCTGGCTTGGGACTGTTGTTGCTCTTTAAATAACATTTGTTGTTGATGGAACTGTAGTTGCTGCTGTTGTTGAAGCTGCAGCTGCCTCTGCTGCTGCAACTGAAGGGCCAAAAACTGTTCAAGATCTTGCCCCGTTTGATTGGCTAATTGTTGGTGTTGTTTCAGACTCTGACTTGGCACTCGTTCTAGCATTGCCTCATTCAGCTGTGCATCATGGAGAGGCATCAAACTATGCTGCTGCTGCTGATGATGATGATGATGATGATGACGCTGTTGCTGCTGCAGTTGTTGGGACAATAGCTTGTCCTCTAAATTAAAGCGGTTATAGTCATGATCCATGAGCTGGCGAGCCTCCATGACATCTTGAAATAAATTGGCATCTGAAAGAGTATTTCTACCATAAACATCCGGCCATGATTCTGTGGTACCAGATGAATTGGCCATTGAACTAGAAGGTGCAAATCTTCCAGACACATTGTCTAAATGCTGATGATCACCAACATGTGCATTAAATAGAGCATTTGATGTCTGACCATTCTTAGCATAAGTACTTTCAAGCTCAGACCACAACAACCCAAGAGGATGCAACTTATTATCTTTCTGACTTGAGATCCCAGAGTCTTTCAGTTCAGTAGGAAGAGTCGGCTGGTTCCCAAAATTGCCAGAAGTTTCACCAAAAGCCCTAAAAATTTTCCCAGCAGGATTGCCACCACTTCCAGGTCTGACGGGAAACACAATTTCTGCTATATTGGAAGGAACAGTGAAGAGCATTAGATAAAATTGCAACTTAATTGGTCATCAGAATTAACAAACACAGATTTTAAGTTCACCAAACCTTCATCTTGGGCAGCAAAATCATGGAAATTTCCCGGGGAATACAACCTTGGTAATGGATGACTATGATGTTCAGGTCCTTCTGACTCACCATGCTGTAATGAGAAAGAAGCAAAATCAGATAATTGCCAACTCGGACCATCTAATGCAGTTGAGGGAACAGATTCATAAACAGGAGTAGATGCAAAAGCTAGTAAACCAACCTCTGATTTCCCCATCAATGCAGATTTTTCCATATCAGAACTTAAATCAGTAATAGTATCATATTCATGTTTATATTTCAAATGTGGCATAACGTCACCCAATTCCTGGAAGGATGCATCATCAGGAGCATCTTCCAATCGAACAGGCAAATCAGTCCCAAAAAATCCTTGTTCAAACCATGAAATGATATCCACTCCAAGGAAAGGTCCCTGTATAGCTCCTTGTGGGTCACGATAGTATAAACTTAATTCCTCAGGAATGATTCTCCTTTCTAACTGATTTTCAGAAGTTCTGCTGCCAAACTTATGCAGTAGACTGCCATCCCAATACTGATCAGAAGATGGAGTACCAAATATGGAATTTGAAACATCAGGAATTTTATTATTGGCATCCAATAATATAGCAGACGAACCTCCGTCAAACAGTGAGATAGCAGCAGAATCTGCAACTTTGAGCTGCGAACCATCAGATTGACTACCACTAAAAGCCTGTAAGCCACCAATATCAACATCTCTTCCAATTGACTCAGAAACTTCATGTTTTCCATCATCAACAGTTACCTCTGAAGCAAGGTTAAAATATTTTCTTTCAGAAGTCATCAATACAGAACTCTTTCTGAGTAATATAAAAAGTGTATTCTATAACTCGCACATCTTACAAACCTGATTTAAGTAAGTTGTTGTAAAAGAAGTCATCCACGCTAGCATCGTGAATATTATCCTGTGTAGCTTTTGAGTCATCTGACATCGCTTCTGCAATATCTACAAGGAGGGCCTGTTTTGCACTGACAGAGTCCACATTTTCCACTACTCGAAACAAAGAAATATATGCAGTTAGCGAGAGCAAGAATCGAATACCACCAAAGAAAATAAAATATAAAGAAGGAAAGATGGAAAAAAAAAATGTTGAGAATTTGAATGTGTGACTAACGAGGTGTCAACCAGTAAATCACCTGAAACATTATCCTTCAATCCACCCTTCCTAGATGAATTGTATGATACCTCACTGCCTCTTATTTTACCTTTCCCTATGTCATTCAAGATGGCCTGTAAAAATGGATGAGTTTGTCAGAATGCTATTCACAATCAAGTTTCTTATCAATAAATATTCAAATTGAGAAGGTAAGGTCGTAAAATTCACCTCCTCCTTGGCCAGGGGAGCAACAAAAGCTAATGGTTCAACAGCAGTTAATTGAGTTAGCTGGGGTATCTCCTCCAAATAGTCAGGCATGTTAGCAAAAGAAGGGGCTAGCTTTTGCATACGGTATATGTCAAGAAGTTTCCCCCGAGGATAACAGAACTTTCCAACAGAGAGGCTTATTTTTCCAGGAACACTTCCATCCTCGTCATATTGAGCAGTGCCAATTGGTCCCACAGATGGCGGCTTTGCAATGTATACAGTTGATCTGCCACGTCCAACAGTAAACCCCACATTTGAACCCTCAAGTTTTCCCCTTTCAAGTCCAAATCCAGGCGCAGCACGATGAGAACCAAAACCACCAGAATTTACCTCCATCCTGTGGCGTGGCCTCCACTTGTCCCGAGAATCTCCATCACGTTCAGAAACAGATCGGCTACTTGACATGATTGATTGATTTTCATTCTGAGCATCTTCCTTCTCCACATCTCCACGTTTTTCAATCCGAGACTCCTTTTCTTTGTCGTCAGGACCCCACCTAGAAGACCACTTGCTATCACGCCTTGTTTCAAGGGAAGAGTTACGACTGCTGGCGTCAAGCCACCTTTCAGGAGCAGGCAACACTCTATTCTCAACTGTTTCTCTGCCCGAGGCATCAATCCGTCTATCCATCTTCCTACGATCTCTTCGACCAAGCAATCCAGTTTCCCTTTCTTCTTCTCGCCAGCGGCGACCACTATCAGCTTCCGGTGCAATTTTTCTCCAATCTTTTTTGTCCTCGGGTGCATCTGAGCGCCAACCTTCCTTCTGATTCACATCAGGACTACTAAGAGAAAGTGAACTTGGTCCACGTGATTCCTAAACAAGAGAGATAATTAAATTATCAATAAATTTATTGACAGATAAAGCACTGGACATGACGTTTGCATATTTATGACAAGCAGGAAAAGGAAACCTCCACCACAACCTCCAAAAAAAAAATGTCTGTTCTAAACCATTATCTTTAAGATTAGATTACAAAAAGGGGCGGTATTGGCTAAGCCAGTCAGATAGGCTCTACAGTTCATTTTATATCACACCATCTCCAAGGCATAACCAAGGATGACAGGTTATTATTTAGTTTATTCCAACACCTCTCCCAGCATATCTCTGCAAAAAGCCAAAAGGATATATTGTAATATAATATAATAAAGCATTTTACAGTTTTCCAAATGACCCCCAAAACATTCCTCGTGCAATCATAAAACCAAATATCTGTCCCCTTAGATCATTGACAAGTAAGAAACATAAATTCAGGAGTTGCAACGTCAAATAATAGGATTTCTTCTAGATTTACATGTTCAAAGGTTGCAAATAAGACAACAGTCTGTCTGGTTTCACATTTCAAATACCATTCAAACCAGATCTAACTGAGTCAAATTCCAAACTCTCCCAAACTGCAGTGATTCGATCAATTGTTTGAAGTCTATATAGAATCTAAACAGGAGTCGAAAATTTGGATGAAGGAACTGGAATCAATCAAACTAGAATCCTCCAAAAAAGATTCACCTTTTAAGTAAATCACAAGTGCCTCAAAACTTACCATCTTAGCCTCACTAGGCTTAGAATAAAGCCATTGCGGAGACAATGGAATGCTGTTCTCACCTGCTCCTTGATCTGTGAAATATGGAACAAGGATATTCAATACTTAACAGTATGGGATATTCAATATTGAAAAGTTCGGTAAAAAAGTATTAATAACCTTTTGATTCATCAAGTAATCCCATCAGCCCCTTTTCCTCCTCATTTTCCACAGAATCTTCAATCAAATGCAATGAAAATATATAAGCTATAGTAAAGTCAAAATGAATACGTATGAGTGTATTTTAGTTGCAATCAGCCGGGAAACTCAACTGAGACACGCGCCTAATTTAACTAAACAGAATCACAACATTGCGTGTTTAAGGGCGGACATACTTAAATAACATCAGTTTAATTTAAAAGTTGATTAACAGTTCGCATTAAGATTTCTAGAAGGGAAAAAAAGTTGCAAACGAATAGACATATAACAAAACATTATTATAGTGAAATTGAAAAAGAAATCAAGCCAAAATAATAAAGAATTCCGGATTCACTAATCTGATCTGAAACTCTAGAATTGGAGTTAAAGAAATATCTCAAAGTAAGAAATAGTCGGATCAAAAAACTCTCTAGGACAAAACTTATTTCATAAGAATAAAATTACCAAAACTAAAAATCCAACTTAAATCATTCCGCTAAATACCTTTTGGATTCCACAATTGATCGGACTGCTTCGATGAGATGAGATTCTCAGAAAGATCCAGTTTTCTTTCAGCCATGAGAAAAATGGATATATCAAAAACGTCAAGAAAAACACACAATAGGAGTGAGATTGAGACAACGGGGAAAGCAAATTAACGACTGCCGATACAAATTTCTGAGCGAGGGATTTTCGAGAGATTTGTATATAATAGATATACGGATGAGTAGAGAGAGACAAAGACTTAGGGTTTGTGAGAAGGGAACTACTGATGAAATGTTGCAGAGAGCGTGAAGTTGGGGTTTGGGTGGTCTGTTAATACAGGCAACTTAATCAAGAGATAATAACATCTCGGGTCCCCATATTTTAATTTACATTTGAACTTGGTCCCTAATCTTTGAAAACAATCATTTGAATCTCAAATCTTTTCTAGTGGTAAGCCTACTTTAAATTTATACTTGTTTGAAAATCATAATAATTAGAATAATATTATTTACAGTCATTCACTATCACAATTATTCTACGTGATATACATATAGCGGTTAATGATTTATTATATGAGGTATTTATTATGTAACAAATCACTAATTGCCACGTATATATCGCATAGAACGACTACGACAGTAAACGATTGCAAATAACATTATCCTTCTAATACTTCAAAGTTCAAACATACTTGCGAATGCTTGGATTTATTAGCTCAAAAACGTTAAATTAGTTTCCTTTAGAAGACAATAAACACTGTGTTGTGTAAGAACTTGTTTGGTACAGTTTAAAAGTCAATTAAAATCAATTTTTTTAATCATTATCTCACTATTCCAACTATCATTTTTTAATTCTTCTCTCAGGGATTGGACCCACTTTATCTCTAATGATTAAAAAATCAATTACTAAAATCTCTACCAAACAAGCACATAATTATACCATGAAGAAAACAAATGTACAATTGGAATTCTAGCTTCTCGAATCTTCCATTATGGTTTTGATCAAATTTCATTATACAAATTTTATATCGCGTATCAAACAAATGTAAAATCTTCTACGCAAGGATTTTTTTTTTTTTAATGCACGGATTAATCAAGCTATTCCCTGCTATATAAAAAAGGGGAATGTGAGGGCACTGTAGAAAGCAACAGTGTCTTGATCTATCTTTATTGTAGCATTTTTTTATAATTTTTTTTTTCAATTTGGGGGTCAAAAACGACGCCGTTTGCTTGATATATATTTTATTTTATTGTACACTACCTCCAAATTTACTGCAATACGCAATTTTCATTCCTCCCCTCTCTGATATAGATATATATAGTATGGATATAAGAAAAATATCACTTTTATATTTAAAAAAAAGATAGAGATAATATGCGACAGAGATTTTTTTTACAACATATTATTTGGTAATTAAAAAATTTGAAAAAAAAAAGAATTAAAGAGAATTATAAATTGAAAGTGTCTCCATACATGGAGGAAGGAAAAAAAAATGTTAGAGCCTATATATATATATATATTTTTATAAGTAATTCTTCTTTTTATCAATTTATTTAAATTTCTTTTTTATCCTTTTCTCTTTTAAATAAAACTTAATTTTTCAATTTTAACAAAATAATATTTATATATATTTTTTAAGATTTTTGTAATTTTTTTATTTTGTTTATTTTGTATTTTTTTAAAATTATATTTAGAATTGGGCTAGGAAATAACAGAATAGGAATACATGAAAATAATTAGAAGAAAGTAAAGAGGTTTCATAGGCGTGTCAAACTTCCACCAACATGATTTTTTTTTTAGACGATGAACATTGGGGGGTTCACTGTTCAAAAGTTCGAAAACACATGTCTCGCCCATTCGTAGTACTTTTTCTCTAAAAAAATCTATAGTCATACGTCTTATTAAACCATTTGGTCGCCAATTTGTGGCAAGCTCCCAGTCGTGATGTAAAGAATCATAGATTTGAACACTTCGCACACCTCTTAGTAGGTGATATCTAGAGAATTGTCCTAGTATATTCTGGAAAACCATGAATGAATAAATTATTGATCTTTGAATCAAATTTATGTGGAAGAGATGAATGTAGAATAAGATATTAAAGATGACACTTACAATTTCTCAATGGCTATTGTGATGAGGTTTTAGTGTTATTTCAAATGCAGAGTTATCTGTATGTGAAGTGTTGTATTTTTCAGGAACATCGGAGTCATAAGTGACATCTAATCCAAAATGGTCAAATATGGTCATATTGAATGGGGAGTTTCCATTACATTCAAATACCAAAACATGAGCATCCTGTAAGTTATGATGGTCAAAAAATTGTTCCCATCCATCGGCAAAATATATTCTTCCATTATCTCTTTCCAATCGTATTGTGACAATTATACCACCGTATGCAGTTACTCGTACTGTGTCATCAAGTTGTTGTCTCCAATCATTGACGAAGGATCTCGGAAGCATCTATACATATACATTAAAAAGTATAAGAGAGATATTAAGAATGCGTCCATTCAAATGTGAGAGGAGAAACTCTTGTGTGACTAACCAGACGAGTATTATGGTTTTGTGGAGAAGTAATAATTCTGAAGAAACGATGTGGCACCTCCATTCTGTCTCAATATAGTACAATGAAAATTTTGTTAAAATAACTCTATTATTTACGTTGTGGAGGCGTAATATAGATTTTAAGTTAGATTTTGCAGTATAGGCGAGTTAGAAAGTTTATTAATGGAAGTTCCATGTCTGTAAGATAAACTTTGTATGTGATGTAAAAAAAATATATTCTATATGTCGTTGTAGACCAATATCGTGAAGTTTGGTGAGAAATTCATGATTTGTATTCGATTTTTAATAGAAGAATTGAAAATTGACATTTAGTCCATCTCAAATAACAAGATGTAAGTTAAAACTGTAAAATTTAATGTTGAAAAAATAGCTATAGTAATCAGGAAAGAGTGGATAGACACCTGATTTTCTTTTTGTTGAGCACCTACAAGCAAATATGTAAATATTTTATGTGAGGAGTGATTTAAGATAAATTTTGAAAATATGAGAAACAATTTAAATAAGAAGATATGTACTTCCTATATTTTTTCCTTTTTTCCAGATTTAACAAGAGGTTCACAGGTTGTAGAAATGAATAATATGTTATCAAAAAAGCCTGATCTTACTCTTCCCAAAAATAAAAGTGAGGAGAAAGAAATTATTGAAGTGTCACACGTTTCACACATTATTTGATTGCAATCAAAAGGTTACAATTGAAGCAACAAAATAATATTTATATATGTATTTTTAAATTTTTGTAATTTTTTTATTTTGTTTATTTTGTATTTTTTTCCAAGTGGGGAGCAAAAACTACGCCGTGCAAAGAGTACAGTAATTTTTTTTGGTAGTTTTTTTTTTGGGCCTTGGACTCTTCGTTTTGTTTTTTTGTTTTTTTTTTGTTTTTATATATATTTACGTTGTAAGATAATTTTTTTTTAATTTACAATTCTTTAAAATTGTTTTATCTTACCTCTAAATTTACTTTATTCTAACACGCAACAATTAAATTGAAAAATTAAATTTCATTATAAAGATAAAAGAATTAAAAAGAATTTTCAATTGAATTTTTTTTTTATCTATATCTAATGAAAATAATAATAATAATAATAATAATTGCAGGCCTCACCTAGGAGTCTCCGTGTAAGGAGACCAAGAGTCTCCATGCACAGAGACCTGCACAGAGTCATCTTATTATTAATATTTTTCCCTTCCTTTTTTTTTAAATAAAAGAAAAGTTAATACCTCTTTATACTATATAACACTAACTACAATGATATTTTTTACAACTTCAAGCAAACTTTTTACTATGTAAAGAAATATATTAAAAACTTTGAGTTAATATTTAATCTAAAGTAATATTTAGATAAATTTAATTTAAAGAATTCAATATTACTAAAAATATTACTGTAAAATTAAATATTGTATATATCCAACTACTATGATATAGTTTTTTTTTCTTTTACTTTTCTATATCTATAAATATATATATATATTTATATACATGCATTCTATGCACGAAGGAGGCTAAGTCTTCTCTTCCAAAAAATTTTTTTTATTCATTAGGCATGTTTGTTTAAATAAATAATAATTCGAAATATTATATCTATTTATGCACGCTTGCATTTGTCCGACTTAGCATAATATAATAATATTTTTCTTCTTTCCTTGTCAGTGTGGTATATTTTATTATAATTTTTGTGTTTAAGTTTTGCAGTTAACTTGCGTGCTGACATAGCTTGCTTGTTTGCACAGTCATAATGGGTGGTTGGACGCCTACATTTCTGCAGCTTCAAGTTCTTGAATCTATATTTCATGAAGGCAACACAAATCCAAACAAATCGGAGATTGCACAGATAGTCTCTCACTCGTCGTTATATGGCCAAATTTGTGTTAAGAATGTTTGTAATTGGTTTAAAAATAAACGTGCACGTTCAAGAACGACATCCACACAAACATAAAATTCTCAACTTAAGCCAATAGTAAAGGAAGACAAATTACGTAAAAGGGTTTTAGGTATGATTATTTGTTGAAATGTGATTTTTTGTTCATTTTTTTCATTCTCTTTTGTACGTAATTTTAACATACATATTTGGTATTCTTTAAAAGTTACTACAAGTTATATACCAGAAAGGCGAACTAGATGTCGTGACTTTGAAACAGGTTTTTTCATTTTTTTTATTATTTTTTATTTTTTATGATATCTTTCATAAATCTTATTTTTATTTTTATGCTTTTAGGTTGTATTGATGATTGTATTGGATTATACAAGGATGAAAGTATTTGTCTTCAAAAAGATTCTGAAAATCAAAATGAAGTATCAGAAATTCCTAATATTTTACCTAATTCTAAAAGAGTTGATTCCAAACAAATAAATCTAAGAAATATTCCTGCCAAACCTTATTTTTCTTCCATCGTCTACAATTTGTAAATATTGTGGTGCCAAAAAGTTTCATAAAAAAACTAAGGGCTTTTGTTATTGTGATGGAAAAGTTAGATTACAGTTAAATAGTGTTCCTCCTGAATTGTTTGAGCTATTTACTTCTACTTCATGTGAGGCAATTGCCTTTAAAAAAGTTGCTCGTACTTATAATAATCATTTTGCTTTCGCTTCTTTTGGTGTTAAGTATGATAAAAATTTGTGTAGAAATAATAAAGGTATATATACATTTAGAGTTCAAGGACAAGTTTACCGTTTTATAAATCCATTGTTACCAATTGATGGGAAACCAGCATATTTACAGTTATACTTCTATGATACTGA